AACCCCCTCATTTCCTAAAATGTTTTAGAGCAAGGCTGGTACTTCCTATCCAAAGATGTGGTAGGGCCTTAAAATACTTTTAGAACTTCTCCATTCTCAGAGCCACCTTTGCTCAGGCTTCTTTTCTGGCACCTGCCTGTACACCATACACTATTATTACTAACCCTGACTAGGCTATAGGAGTGAAGCCCTGGAAGCTGTTCATCCCAACTTGTCTTCATCTTGTGAATCCTTCCACCCAAACTACACACTGAAAATACCCTTAAAGAGACCAACAAAGTCCAACCACTTATTTCTAGGATGGAATGCAGGCGGTAGTGAGAGCTAGGTGACTTTTTCCCACAAGCTCCTAATTAAAATGTGTTCTGATGCCTAGCATTGCCTTAAGCATTAGTAAGGTCTGTTACTTACTTCATCAGGAAGCTCCAGGATAGTAAGATTTTTTGAATGAAACGTGATTTCAAAAGTGATCACCAAGGTAGAGTTTAATGGATGCCTAGGAGGATAAGAGTCTAGTTACTGTTGGGAGATTGGACCCAGTAAGATATCCATCAACCCTCTGGATTTCACACCAGGTCTTCCTTTCTCGAGAAATCAGAATCGGGAAGGGCAGTGTACTCAGACTGTACACATCCTCCAGATCTAGAAATGAGCATTTCCTAACTCCCAGAAGTCCTGTTCTGTTCCCCTCCAGTTTCCTGACCCCAAGGATAACTACTGGCTGACATCATGGAGTCACTGTTTTTATATTTTATACACAAAGAATCTGACAGCCCAGAGATTTTTTTTGTTTGACTTCTTTTGTATGATATTATGCTTTATTTTCATTTATTTCTATAAGAGAATACCTTTACCTAGATATTTGCCCCTAAACTGGGAGCAGTAAGAAGGGGAAGGAACCATATTCCTGCTTTATTAGGAGACTAGATGTTCCTTTGGGGTAGGGTGAGAACACAAGAAGGTGGAATTCTGGCTGTGAAAAATGGGGGAACATAGAGGGGACAGGCCAATGGCTTTCTGCTCCAGTGGGAGAGGCTTCTTTGGTAGGCTCAGGTCTGAGCAGAGTGTGGTGTGAAGGTCAGCGGGGACTGAATGAGATTAGGCCCTTTGGGAGCACCTCATGGGAGCCTCACATGTGGGAAGCCGTTTAAGGATTCCAGAGAGGGGAGATAACTTGGATGGTTTATATGACGTAGGTGTGCAAGGTACAGAGGACAGAGCAGTAGGCCTGTGAGGAGGCCTGGGGACCAAAGCATAGGCCTGAGAGCAGACTTTTCAGGGCAGGTGAGGAGTAAAGGGCATTATCTCAGCTGGGGGCCACAGGCATGGTGAAGCAGTTGAAGGCCACAGAACTGGCAGAGGGGGAACCAGGTCAGGACCTTCATGCCTAAGCCAGTAGGTGTCCGCAAGTAAGACTCTTAGACAAAGGCAAAGTGTGAACAGGAACATGTGGGACCCCTTGATACTGTCACTTCTGCTTTGGCAAATGACCTCAGCTGTGCTGTGCTGCTCAGTAGTTTGGTTCTTTGCCCTTTATTTTTAGGGCTCTGTCCAAATATTTAGTTTTGGAAAGGGTCTTGAAGTCTGGCATCACCTGTGACCACCTGAAGACTCTTCTTGCTAGTGGAAACAGCTCATGTTTCTAGGGAGAAGTGCCCCCCTTTCCTCCCAGTGGAAATAAGGACTCTGTACGTGTTTGACTTTGGGACCCTGCTCTGCAGTCCTGGGCCTGCACCACTCTGTTTATGTCCTACAGCAAAGAGGCAAGAACATCACACTGAAGTACATGCAGACTGTGCCAGAGATCAGTCCCAAGTGGGGCTGGGGACAGAACTGGGCCTGAGAACTTACCCAAGGGTGATGCTAACGTTGGTTGAGCTGCCATTTTCAAGCTTCACAGTGGGAGGAACAGTGAGACTGACAGTTGACTCTGGAAAGACCCAAGGCAATGACATGAGTCTCGAGGACAGAGAGCTCAGCCATAGGAGGGGTGGCCCCAGGCCCCTGCCATCTGAACTCACTAGCCCTGACCCACTGATATTCCTGCTTCCTAGGTGTACTTCCAGACTTCCATTAGGCTCTTCTCATCTCTGCACCAGGGCCAGACTGCCACACAGTTTAGAGCAGGAAGTGCTGGAACTTCCTCCTCCTTCCCCTCTGCAGGCAAGCTGAGTTCCCCAGAAACAGTCTGGGACCCACAAAGCCCAAAAGTTATAAAAAAAGAAATTCAAACCAACATCTGTGATTGTAAAGGGTGGACTGGAACCACCTCTGCAGATGGACCGCACAGGGGGCTCCTCTGAAAAATTGGTCTGTCTCATTCCTGGGTTCTGAGATGGGCATAAGGCCTGGCTAACATGTTTCTAAAGAACCATATGGGCTTTCCTGAACACTTAGCTCACCCCATGAATGGTTCCATTCCTGAGACTGTTTGCTAGGGACTGGAGGATAGTGGCGAGGGGTGTACACTTTTCACTATCAGGGCTTGCTTCCTGGCATTAAGGTGCTAACTCAGGAGAAGACAGACAAACAAAATCCCAAGGAGAAGGAGGAAGCAGGCTTGGATCTTAGAAAACCATGTTGGGACGAGGGCTAGATTGGGAGTGTAGCTCAGAGGTAGAATGTATGATTAGCAAGCATAAGACCCTGCTTGAATCTACTCTCTAGCACCAAAAACAAAACAAAGCTGGGTGGTGGTGGCACACACCTTCAATCCCAGCACTCAGGAGGCAGGGGCAGATGGATCTCTGTGAGTTCAAGGTCACACTGGTCTACAGAGCAAGTCCCAGGACAGGCTCCAAAGCTACACAGAGAAACCCTGTCTCGAAAAAACAAAAAACAAAATAAAACAAACAAGAAAACCAAAGAAAGAAGGAAGATCATTTTGGGAGATCAAATAACCCAGCACACTGTGGTCACAGGGAATGGCTTGATAGCTTGAGCAATTCCTGTTTTCTTTGGACAGCCAACCACCTCATCACTGTGCCATGCCAAGGTGTACTCAAAGCTTCACGGCACACCTGCCCATCTCACCTCCCCTGCATCCCAGACTTCAAGGAGAGGCATATCCTAGAAGCCATGATAAAGGATCCAGAGATGGAAGAATATTTTAGGCCACAGAGAAGTGCTACATTTGGTGAAGATGGCTCACAAAGAGATGGAAGGCACAGGCCTCTACCCAGAACCCTCCATGGCAGAAGACAAGAACTAGGATCTGCGTATTAGAGCTCAGGTTGGAAAGAACTTGTGTTACCTCCCCAACCTCCTTAACTGGTTCTCCCCTCAGTATTTCCACTGCATGGGTACTTCCTGGGAGAGTCACCTTATCTCCTAAGGTGTTCCCTAGCTTGGAACTCACACTTCTAGGCCTGGCTCTGTCACATCTGAGCTGCTTTCTTCAGTTGATTCCCCATGTATAAGTGCAGATGGTGGCTGTCCCCAAGGCACAAGTCTCCCAGATGTGATTCTTTATAGTACACAGTCTCTAGTCCCCTCACCTGAGTGGATTCCTCAGGTCAGATCAGTTGCTGTAGCCTCAGGGTCTGGAGGCTGCTTTGGCAACACTTTCCTTTCTGCCATGCCAACTCTGTATCCTGCCTGCTATGCTAACTGTATCCTGCCTGCTGTGCTAACTCTATTATACCTGCTTTGCTATCAATATGAGGTTTTGTTCTGGGCTAGGGGAGTGCAGGACTTACTATCCCAGTCTATGAAATTTTATTTACTGCTCAGGACTAGATCAGATAAGTAAGACCCAGAGCAAGCCACTGCTCAGGGCAGGTACATGCATGCTGTGTGTATGTGTAGGCACTTAAAAGGATGTCAGGGAGTTAGATTTTCCAGTCTTTATATATTAAAGTAGGAAGACGGGGGCTTTCGAAGACCCAGATCAGAGAGTGTTTAAATCCTCCCCACTCATCACTACGGAAAACACTGGTGCTCAAGCAAATGAGAGTCTGGGCTCTGAAGTCACACAGTTCCATCCTGGCTTTGACACTTCCTAGATGCATGACCCACAAAAAGGGACTTTACTGTAGAGCCTCACCTGTAAAATGGGCGGAACAGGATCTAAGTCACAGATAAAACGCAGAAGGGTTAGCAGCACTCTTTCTACTTTCTACATGGTCTCAATCCTAAACGCTCATTAGCTTCTCCTGCTGCCATTGCTTTACAACTGCGGGGCATTTTTAGCCCAAGATAGGAGGCAGCTGGGAAGCTGTATCATATCCTGGGGCAGCATGAGTCTTGGGGGGACCACCTTGTTTCCCCTAAGGGAAACCATCAGTCTCCTCTCCTTCCCCCTTTTCTTCAGTGATCTCTAGTCAGCCCTTCTTAGGTTTTTTACTTTTTAACTTTGAGACAGGGTCCCATTAACTTGTTCAAGAAGCCTTCAATTAATTTTGTTCCATAGCCTGTGTAGGCCTTAAACTTGTGATCCTCCTGCCTCAGCCTCCCAGTAGCCAGGATTATAGATCTAGGCTACCACTACTGCATCCTAACTCATTCCACCCAGTTCTGCTGGCCTTTTATTATTTTAGTGAGGTCTCACAAGTCTGCCTGGAATACAAGAACACTATTCATCTTCTCCTCTCAGTTCCTGAGTGCTGGGATACAGTTATGGCACCATTTCTGTTGTTCTCTTCACCCCCATTTTATAATTATCACAATAGGTGATGGGCATTTTCGGTCCTATTTTAAGTTAAAGAAACTTCCTCCAAGAGGAAAGGAGTTTCCCTGTCCACAAAGCTAGAAACGATTGACTAAGGATTCAAAGCTAGGCTTGTTAGATCCAAAGCCCAAGTTGTTACTACTAGGCTGCACTTCCACAGACTCCACTCAAAGAAGTAGAAGTGACACACTCTGGAGGCCTTCTGTTCTTGATGCTGACACCCCAAACAGAAGAAAAGTCCAGCAGAATGAGGCTGGGATCCAATCCAATTCCAGGTTCTCAATTTTGTGGTAGCTTCCATTGCTCCTTCATAGAGTCGGTCAGGAGAAAGAGGCAAATGCAACGGAGGCCCAATTCCAGACCCAGCTTTATCTGTGAAGCTTTTTACCCTGCCTGGGCCTCAGTTTACCCTCTGTGTAGTTGGAGTACTAGCAGGAGTCTCCATTATCTCCTAGGTAATATCCATTATGTGCTCCGGCACACATGCACTTTCTTCCCAGAGTTGATTCAGTAGGGCTGAAGTGTAGCTGTGGCATCCCTCTGGAGAAAGGTGGCATGAGAGCACCTTTCTCCACAAGCTGTGACTTCAGAGGAACATGTCTGATATTTACCAAACCTGGATAAGCTAACCAGACAACCATAATGTGTACAACTTTAGGGAACATCTAGGATTTCTAGTGTTTGCCCCAGGCTTCTGGAAATTGTCAGGAACTTTAAGATAGATTTACTTTGGAGCAAAGACCTACTTAATGATTAAAATGGGCCTGAGCACTGTGAATACTAAACAAAGCTAGTCACAAAAGAAGGAGTTCCAGAAAGGTCTTGGGTATTCCAAGGATGACAATTGGATCTGAAGGGGTCCACTGACAAGGATGTGTGAACTTCACCAGCGTGCTGCTTTCTGTGTGGCTCAGGATGCTGTAACCAGCTCCAATCTTCTCTAATGGAAAGGTCTTTTCTCTTACAAGGTGGGGCCAGGCACAAGGCCTTTTTAGTGTCTCCCAGGACCCATAACTCTCTTTGCAAGGTCCAGAGGCAGAAGCACAAGCTATTCTTTACAGATACCATCTCAGCTTGGTAAGGCTCTGAGAGACAGTCGTACAGTCTGACTAAAGAACTAACTGTTATCTCTGTTGATACAGAGAAGGCAAGAGGGACCCCAGGGTAAAAGGCCAATTACATTTGGGACCATCTGGCTCTTTGCAAAATGTCTCTGAGTGGGAAGTCGATCATAGGTGTCCTGTATAGCACCAAACCTTTGGTGAAACAGAAAATACTCTTTCCCACTATTTCCCTTTTTATAAAGCTGGGAAGTCACTTTTAAAACTTACCACATTTCTCTATGAACTTCAAGAGGAAAAGGGTCAAAATGGGCAGCCAACTCTTCATCATGTTCTTTGACTTCTTGGAACTAGGTAAAAAATGAATAGCAAGAGACAGGCATGTTAAGGTCGAATTAGCCTTGCTGTTGGTGGACAACATGCTACCTGAGCCCTGGCAGTGGGACAGTTCATAAAGGACTTCTATTTCACAGGCTCTGTGACCTCTGACCTCACAGGCTTGGCATCACAACCTCCGAGAAGGAGACCCCAGAGAGGACTTATCTTTGTTTCATGTGATAGAAAACCTGTTCAGAGCCGCTAAGTGGGTTGTGCAAAAATCCTACTCTGAGGAAGTGAGCACAGACCCGTACCTTCCCTCAACTGCTCTCTACAACCCAGTTAACAAAACAAAATGAATGGAGTTTCATTGGCAGAGTGTGCTTCTCTTAAAACAAAACAAAACAAAACAAAAAACCCCAATCTCTTCTCTAGTTTCACTGAAGCAGATACAGACTGTGAAATTCAAACACTCTGTCAGCAAAAAAAATCCCCCAATACTAAAGGCTAAGACAACCGGAAGGAAAACCTCAGAACAGATGGAAAAGGAATTGACAAGATAACCACAATGCTAAAATGATCAGATTGGTTAACCACACAACTAGACTTGTAAAAAGTTACAAGACAAAGTGCTTGCCATGGCCTTCTTCTGGGGTGTGTGTGTGTGTGTGTGTGTGTGTGTGTGTGTGTGTGTGTGTGTGTGTGTTCTAACCATCTTCCAGGCCTCAGTCAAATTTCTCTTTCAGGAGCCTC